ACACACATTACATTTTATGTTCATTCTCAATTATGATAGGCACTCTCATTATTATATAGAAATATAAAGGCCATATTAAAAAAAAAAAGAAAATGTAAAAGTGTTTTTTGCGACACTTTTAAACAATAGAGTCATATAGAGAGAAAAATAGAGAAAGAAAAAAAATTACAATTAAATAAAATCATATAAAATAAAATTTTTAATGAATAAGACAACACATTTGGATTTATGTATGTAGAGGCTGGCTAACATTATATAGATAAAAAATTAATAATAGAAATAATGGATATAGATGCATTTTACACAAATACATGTACATTTGTTATTATAATTGTATCTATACGGCCCTTTGTATTAGATCTTTTGGCTTTATTTTACCATTCTGAATGGGACAATATCAATTCCAAAACATTCAATTCCGAAAATTACTAATTTTACATAATTTTCAAAATTTTAATACTGGCGTCTATACTAAGCCCGTCAAGAAGAATTTATTGTGGCAGAAATTCTCTTCTTGCATTAATTGGTTTACAATAAATTTAATTTGTTGCTTAAAATTATTAGCCGACATAATAAAAAACCCTCATATTATCAAATAATTCAATTTTGTATAACACGAAGTTGAAAATTAAGCACCTCTACCATACAAGATAAAATTAATCCAAAGCTTTTATAACGGCATACCGCAGAGAAGGGCTTTCAATATTTTCTTTGAATTTCGTTTCCATTCAAGATTCATTATTTGGCCAATTATTTTCCCATTTATACTTGAATTTCCTTATTTTTTTTATTACACTATTTTTTTTATTTTTCTATACATTTTGTCGAAAAATTTGCTTAAATTTTATAACACCTTTTTAAATACTTTGATTATCCTCTTAAATCCTTTTCTTATGCCTCCCTTTATTTTCTTTTTCTATTATTATTATTATTATTATTGTTATTATTATTTAATTTACTTATCAAACATTTTATTTGAAGTTTTTTTTTTGTTTGAGGATTTCTTCTTAGCATTTTGCACAAAGAAGAAATCTTCAAAACTTCAAAAGTAAAAAAAATTTTCTAAAGATTTTTTTTTCTTTCTTTTTTAAAAAAAAAAAAAAAAAAAAAACATTTTGACAAATTCGCCTCCCCCCCCCACCCCCCCCCCCCCCCCCCCCTCCACACCAGCCGCTCCCTTTTAACTTTAAAAATATTTTCGCTAACAATTCCAATAGGCAAAATTATAACAAAATATTAGAAGTGGGTGTAGGAGTTTGAAGTTTTTTTATAACAAGATTATATGTTGCATTTATGCTCTTTTTGAAAATTTTCTCTTTGGTTTTGATTTCTCAAGAGGGTTAATTTTTGAGAACACAAAAAAGGAAAAGTGTTTAATGAAATCAAGAAAAAAGTATAAAGAATTAGCCATTTATTTAGTCACTAAGATGGGTAATTCTGTAATATAAGCTTCGTTATTTAGATATAGAAAATATTTCGTTGCATGAAATCAAAAGTGTTTTAATCAACATTTTTCGGCAATATGAGTTTATTATTGATTCAGAGAGATTCGGTGATGCTCTTTTCAAGGCAATCAGTATTATAGTTGTAACACAACTTGTTTCGGAAATATTGGGATTTTATCAATTTTAGTTCAATATATGTACATATATTATATCTATAAATTCAAAAATTAATCACAGGGCAGGCTTAGAAAAGCAAGAACAAGTTTTTAACTTCTTGTTGAAAGAATAATTATAACAATATTTTGAGGTGGTTAACAACAAAATTTGTGAGACAGTGCTGTAAGATGATAGCTGATATATTATAAAGAAACATTTAGATTGAGTAATACACCCATACTGTTAATGCAAAAACATTAATCATAGTCTATTCTTCTACTGAATTCTCACGTTACTAGCTCCAGTTTCAAATATTTTGCAATTAAGTTTGCATCACAAGATTAATATCAAATCCTGATAAGGAAAGTTGAGGAAAATATTCTAAGTTCATAATATTTTTATAATACAAACATTATTTCAAATTTTTACACTTTACCCTACTTCTCCCCCCTCCCTCTTTCATCAATGAAAAATACAAAATTGAACACAAACATAAAATAAACAAAATATTGTATTATCGAAAAATAGCACATTTTTTCCGCTCATATATCCAAAAAAAATGCTCGTGTTTACAGAAAAGATTTTGTTAAAATAACAAAATAGATTTATTATATTTGTTAAGTGCAATAGTAACATCACCATTATCAGCATCAATCCTACAGCTATATTTATATAACTAATACAACAACTGCTGATTTTCATATTATAAAAATATATAAACAAATAATAGGTACACATACGGAGAGTAACGAGGAGAGCGAAAACCAAAAAATAAAAAAAACCTCAAATTCAATTCAATTTTTTCTTTTTTTTAAACAACATTTAAACTCAACAAACATTTGACAACAAATATAAATACCATTTAAGATGTCAACATAAATAATATGAGATTTGAAAAAATGTTAAACAAATATATATATATATACAAAAATTGCCCATTTCAAATCAAAAACCGAACAACAAAAACTGTCAACGGAAAAAAAAAACATAAAATAGAAAAACCGGGGCGACAAAAAAGCACTTCATTTCTTTGTCAGTCAAAAAAAAAAATTTTTTTTTCTCTTTGCTTTCTTTTTCGGAAGTGCTTAAATAATGTTAAAAACATGAACAAACAGCGGGATGCTTTTTAGTTAAAAAAAAAAACAATAAACTATTCAACAAAAAAAAAAAAATTATTTAAGGATATGACAATAATGAAGATGGCACTAAAAATATTGTTATTTATTTTGCTGAATAGGAGATTTTCTTTTTTGGGTTTTTTGATGTTTGCTAGTTAGTATTTAGTATTTTAAAAAAATATAGCCAAATAACAGAATTTTTTGTGTGTTTTTCTTCTATTAGGTTTTCTATTAAGGTTTCATTTAAACCAAATGCCATTCATCAGAAAAACGAAGCACAAATTCATAAAATATAGATGCATATAGATTTAGGAATTACCATCAGACACAGAATGAAATATGGAAGCAAAAGCAACTTAGAATAACTTAAACGGCATTATACGGCACTACAACAACTGAAATGGCAAAATTTCCATTGATCGAACATCAAAAAAAATTTTTGATGCGATTGCAGTGAATCTACTTTAATCATTTATTTTAAAATTTTAACATTATATATAGCAAACGTATACATACAAACATGAATATTTAATTTTGTATGTATGTGTGTATAGTAAAATTTAATTTTGATTTATTTGACTACATATATTAATCATAATGTTCTTCTGAACCATTTCAGAAAAAATATCGAACACATTTTAACCAAATTCTTGCAAACAATATTACAAAATATACAGATTTTAAACACATCATAGTGATATAGATGACGTACTCGTACATATAAGAATAAAATATTGTATAAAAAATGGTGATGATGATAGGACAGATTTTGTGGTTTTTGAAATATTCAACAAAAGGGGTTGTATTGCAAAATAAACCATTAAAATTATGGCATCCTTAATATTATGTAATAATAATGAACGCATCTTTAATAGAGATTATCCTGCGTAAATTTTTTACTCAATTTTATGTAAACACCATGACATAATATACTCCTAGCTATAATAATGTGTATGTATGTATTTAAATTGAATAAAAAAATAATAGGAAAAAAAATTATTTGAAATAAAATGACAAATTACATGGTGTTATTAAATTATTGTGATTATACTAAAGATTTTATAAACGGAAATTTTTACATTTTCTACTTTTTTATGTAATGATTTTATAAAATAACAAATATGTTGTAACATCGCAATATTATGACAGATATTTGACAGATATTTTATGTCAAATCATTTTCAATTTTAAACTTTATATTTGCAGTCGTTTAATAAATTGTCTATTGGAAATATAATTGTGTCATATTATGTCGTAAATGTGACATTTTAAATTTTATTATTGTATTTTAAGAAATGGGGAATATTGTTAGAAGAGATTATTTATGATAATAATTAGTGTTGTAAAGGTGTAAATATAGTTGGTAAATATGCTTTTCAAAACACAATTTATCTCGCGTTTATGTTTATAAAATACTTATTGGTAGGTGCAAATCATTTGTGATTAGATTAGAATTGTTAATCACAGAATTTTAGTTCCGAATTAGATATTTTCGTTCCAAAATCCGAATATTAAATTTAGTACATTTTAACCAGGAGAAAACCTGACTAATTCCAAATTACAGTGTTACGGTTTTAATTCATAATTCAGTTTATGTAATAGTTATACTTGTACTAATATATTTTAAATTGATATCTCGGCAGTTAAAATTTTATTCTTTGTGGGATGGATAACAAAATATCTGGTAATATACGTGCTATCCTGGCGATTATATTCGCAACATGAAATTTTCGAGTCAGAAGAATATTTTCCGTATTTTTCATTTCGTTTTTTGTTTCGGGGACTTGAGCCGATATAAGTCAAATAAGGCTCATAATTTCTTGCACCAATTACATCCAACTAAAAATTCCAGCTATATAAGCTGTTATTTAAGTTATTTTAAATTTTCGATCTTCTAACGCAAGGAATTACATTGGGACGTAAGAATTATTTAATTATTTCTGTAAAATTACGAATTGATTTCTAATTTGTAATATTAAAGCTATTGAACAATTTTGATATTGATCTTAGAATACATTTGTATTTTCATAAATATTTAATAATTTAAAACATTTTATTATTTTAGTAAAAAAATTAAATGGAAAAAAAAACAAAAATATATAGAAATATTAAAAATAAAAAAAAAATTTAAAAACTTATTATTTTCTTTTATTGCAGATACTTTTTGTAGTAGATGCTATAGAGATTTGGAAAAAATAGTCAAAATATATTTCAAATTCTAAAATATATTAAAAACTCTATATTTTCTAAATAATTGATTTTTGTACATTTTAGATTAATAATAATTACGAGGTTTCTTAAAGAAATATTTGGATTTTGCTCTTGATCATATTCAATGAAAATTTTACGACAAAAGAAAACCCTCCAAATTGTAATAAATTTGAGGATTGCTTTTTAATTTTTTTTAATTTTAGTAATTAGCACAAAGAAAATAATTTGTTTTTTCTTTTAGTGGTTACAGATACAACGTACAGTACTTACAAATCCGTGTTTATCACTAATGTTATTTGTTAATTTTAATTTATGAAATGATACAACTTTTTGCATCCATTGTTCTCCCGTTGATGGTGAATCCGGATGTATATACATACGTTTTGGCATTTCTGGATCAGCTTTACCAGCAACCATCCATCGACTGTTTTATAAAAAATAGAAAAAAAAAGAAAAATTTAATATAACATTTTGCCAAATGAGACAGTTCGAGAAAATGACATTTTTACTGGGCAAAGTACAGTTCAGTCGTATAAAAACATGGCAGACATTATAATTTAATAGCTCTATCTTATATTCGAAATATATTCGGACAAATTAACAAAATAAATAACGGTAGATTTGTAAAATAATTTAAATCAATAATTTAACAAAAAAAACATGCCTATATGATTAAAAATGGGATTATATGGCAATATATATCGTAACCGCCTACTTTTAGGCCACGCCTCTATTTACATAAATACTTTTGTATCGTTTCGTTTCGTTAGAAGAAATATATTAATTCCCAGTAACCAAACCATATTTTCTATTCCGTTCCGCCTATTTCATATTTGTTTGAAAGTAAACTGCCGGCCGTCGAATCGAAAATCGCAATATATATAGAGTAGATTTAGAAAGCATTTGTTTTCTAATAATAAAATTTTAATTAAACATATTCTTTAGTACTTACCTATTATGAAATTTATACCTATAATCATCAGCCGCTACGATATCTAATAATAATATATATTTTGCTTTTGCATCTAATCCCGATACTCTAAATTTCATTTGAGGAAACATTTGTCTGCAAAAGAAAAAAAATTAAGAAAATTATTATTAAGCTGTCATTCAAATCAAAAAGTAATTAATATATCTACATTATTTTATTTCAAGAAATATTGCAATTATATAGAATAGGCAAATTTCTTCGTTAAATGCGAGAAGGAGGACAAGATATTCTGGACTGTACGAAAGGAACACAATACTCACTTTCTGAAACCGTGCTAACACGGTGCAAAGTAGGTGCTGTCTGTTATTAATCATGAAAAATATGATCGATGACCTCTACTGTACTGCCTCTAATGTACTAGAAGACGAACGCTTCTAATATGCTTAACCAAATCTTATATAAATCTTTCTTTTGGATTACCATTTCACCATAGCAAAATTAATTGATTATCTCAACTTTTAAAATTTTTTTGAGGATTTCTAACCCCCTACTCATCTCTCATTAATTAGTTCGTGTAAATATTTCGGATTACTTGGTGTTACCTTTTTTTTGCGTAAGTCTATACACAAACACTTTAGATTTTATAAAATTATATTATGTGTCAATTAAAATGCATTTAATAGCTCATGTGCACATTCACCATAATAACGAAAAATATTTCAAGAGATTTACCTTCCCACCTGCTTGATTTGCATTTACATTAACATAAGTTGCATTTAATTCTACGCATATATCTGTATATTGGAGTATGTTGTGATCATTCAAAGGACATATCTTCCCACCCCTTTTGATGATATTTTTATGATTTTCGTTTTAAATTTGTCTTACGTTCTTTGTTTTGCTTTACTGATGAATATTGGGTGGTTTCGAAAAATAAGTGCTTTTTCACCCTTTTATGGCAAAAACTTTTATTTTTTCTGAATTAATTTTGTTTTTTTTATTTGGCTAACATTTAGATCAAAATTAAGAACATAGTATAGTCAACCGAATGCGGGGAAGGAGTCATAGTCATTAAAATAAGGGTGCCAACAGAATGAAGGAGTTATTAAAAGAAGAGTGCTAATTAGATTGAATTTTTTAAAAGTTCCTCTACAAAATTCAACTCATAAATCTATACCTATATTTTTAGTTTAAGAAATTTTGAACTGAATTTATCAGAAAAGTCAGAAAATAGGCCAACCTCCTCGCAAATTTGATCAAATCTACGTGCTCCATTTGCAATAAATCTCGAACTTTTAATTTTAAATTTCTTGAATTAATTTTAAATTTCCTTTCATTCATTTTTCATTAATGATTCATTCTGTTGTATATATACCCATTTTTTTTTACCTGCATTCAAAAATGATTTGTAAATTAAAATGGGAGCAAATAAGGTAAAAAAATCAAGAGTGCATCAGTAAGAAATTTGCTTAAAGATGGTCTCTTTCGTTTTTTTCTTTCTTGGTATTCAATGTAATTTGTACATTTTAGCAAATTTGTATTTGTTTTTTTTTAGGGTTTCAGTTGACAAGTATTACAACTTTTCAAACTGGTTTTACTTTTCTGTTTTTGGTGGTATGGTGTTTTTTTTGCTCTTTGGTATTTAAAGAAATTTCGGCGCTCTTTATTTATTTAAAATTTATGCAAATTGAATGTGTAAAATTTATAAAATTACATGGAAATATTTTTTTTTAGTTATGTACCAAAATACTCTGGAGCCACAGCATTAATTCCAAACCAATTACTACTTTGTTTATTTAAACATGCTAATCCTTCTTAATGGGTGTGAATAATAATCTCAATTGGTATTGCGTGTATCGGAATATTATGGTGCTGTAGAACGTAAATTAATATTGCAATCCCTTGGAACTTAATTGTATACTTCGTTTGTCATTAATTTTTTCATTTGTCATGTGAAATATTTTTATTAAATTCAATTTTCATTAATGAAACAACAAAATTGCCACGTAATGGCAGGCTTGTTATTGAACTTGAAATACAAAAACAAAAAATGTTTTGCAAACGTTTAAAAACAACATTGGGTGAAAAAAACTCACATTATTTAAAATTCCTTAAAGAGAAAGCTTCTCACTTTTTTTATTGAAAATTTACGCGACAAAACGAATATGCAAATTATTTTTTTTTTCTAAAATATTGGCCATTGATACAAAATTTTTTTTTTGTGGGGAAGTTTAAACATAATTTATTTATAAAATATTTAACAATTTGTAGCTGTTCAGTGTTCATTCATTCAAAATATCGAAGCAAAGCAGATGCATGCAAAATATTTCACCTTGATGCAAAATAGGTTTTTTTTTTTGCCATTTCAATAACAAAGCAATAAAAATTTGAAACAGAAAAAACAATATTACCTTAAATTATAACCTGTTGGTTTTAACTGGCATATAACAGTTATGAATGTTAAATATAACAATTTTATTATTTAAATCTTCACAATCATCATCGGATTGTATAACATTGGAACTTTCTTTCAAAAAATTTTCAAAAAAAATTGAAACAAATCTTCTTGACAAATGTTTTTTTTTTAACAATTTTTATGTGTTTTGTAAGATCGATTGTCCTATACTCCTGATACCAAAAGGATATTATTATAATAAAAACAAGAAAACCATAATGAAAATTACATCTGGATTTCTTTGGAATCGGATGTTATTGAACCTCTTTTTTTCGATATTTTTATTTTTGGCTTACAATTCCAATACGAACGTATTTTTTACTTAAAAAATGAAACAAAAAAAGTGATTTGACTTGGTGGTTACTTACATTTATTGTTTGATCTGTTTTGCATATATTTAAATGTCCACATGATGATTGACATATTCAAAGGATAATGGCAATAAATTACTTTATGTTTACATAAAAAACATATTATAATTCCTTATAATATTCACAAATTGGGGTTACTAGGCTTTTATTAATTTTAAATTGTTAATATCCTTGAATTTTTTTTTTCATTAAATATTTTGTGGTTAAATTGTTATTTTCTTTTATTGAATTTGGGGGAGAATAATCGTAAAGTTATGAAAGAAAGAATGTGAACAGCATATTTGAATATTTGCCACATGCATTATCCCTCTCCCGTAGGCGTTTTGTACGGCATTACTGCTACAAAATTAGGAAAAAAAAATGTGTCATTTCTGTTGGATTTTACTTAACAAGTGGACTTGGAAACGATTCAAATAATGGAAATTTTATATTCCGGAATCATACCAGAATTCAGCAGAATATAGTGAAAAATATTCGTCATTCACAAGGATTTTAAAAGGTGGTATATTTACTAGTCTATATGATCCGGTCAATAATGTTTGGGAAGATCTTCTCGATAATTAATAAATAATACAGAAAATAATATGCATCAGCGCGATTTAAATGGCGACAGAGTTGCACAGGAAAAAGAAATTAAAATATCTAAACAAATCACAATATAGGCAGATGGGAAAACTCAGAAAAATTGAAAAAGAAGGAAAACTGCACGACTAAACAAAACGACAAGAACACCGCCTTGAAAAAAATTTAATTGCATTCCGAGCTCTCGAATTGTATTTGTCGTTGGATCTGTGTTGACTTACTAGGGGGACTCTTGCACAACAAAGAGTTTATAGTGAATTTGAAGGCATTGAAATATTGACGGTGCAACTTTAATTTATCAATCACTACCTAATCAATTCACAAATTACCTGCCTGGACAAAATTACAAATTTTGTTGTACAAAATATTCAAATATAAGGTAAAAACTACAGTAATCGTCTGTTTTCGAATAATGTGAAACAGATAATATTTTCAGTCAAATTCAAATATTTATTCTAGTATACTAGCCGATATATGAAAGCATTTTGCTTTAATAACATGGCGTTTGGTCTCTGGTATTTTTCTATTATATGATTAAATTATTAATAAAATACAAGAATTTTTAATGTTGTCACGATTATCACTAAGGAATGAAGAAGAGAAAACCATTTAAAAACAAACAAATAAAAATTTTTTTTAACTTTGGTATTCTACAGGCCAATTTCTATACTAGATGCATATGTATATAAGCTTATATATACAATATGCATTGGAAAATATACTAACATATTATACAAAAAAATCTCTTAATGAATATGAAATTCTAGTTAAACTTACATATATGTACGTATGTTCGTATACAGCAATACATGATTTGTAAAACGATTTCAAATACAAATACATATCTATGGCTGAATATAAATTTCATTATACATAGCCAAATACTTCAAGATTAACTATAGGTGAAGCAAATAAAACATTAAAAGCCATCTGTCTTCACTATGCTATTCCTCTTGGTTTTTTTGTTTTTATTGTTCTATTCTTTATTCTTTGCTTCCTTGTCGTATAATTTCTTTTCTTTTTATATTATAGTTTAATTTTTTCTTTACTATAATATTCTCTGTTGAGTTCTCTAAGATTTATTGAACTCCGAAGGTGGTAATTTTGATTTGAATCTCTCCCAGTGTAATACATTCATATCATAATATTTACAATAATAATATAAAAATGTAGATATATCAAAATGATGTGCGACTATGCAATCATAAACATGAATATATCAAATAGTACACCTCTATTTTATACTATATTAAGAATTTAAACAGGATATATACATTTATATATTGTATATATATACAGGATGCTCTAAATTTTGTGGTGTCTATAATGATTTTTTTCTTTAAATATTTATAATCGTGTCGTTTAAATTAAATTAAATAAATTTATGGTATAGTTGCACCTTTCCATATAAATGCTTTTATTCTCTAAATATTCTTGAATGAAAGACAAGGTTTGAATTAGTATGACTTATCAAGTTCTCTTGAAGGTAATTTCAACAAGGTAACAAGGTTAAATAAGGTAATTTCAACTACCCGCAACAAATATTGTTTCCAAGCACTTAACACGGATAATAAGCTGAGCAGTTTATAGATTATACTGATTGTAAGCTGGGCAGAATTATAGATTCTACATATGAAATCAATAACGGGGCGGTATTATGGTTTATTAGCAGCCGAACAAAATAATTTGAGCACCCTCTACAACAAAATAAAAACGCTCGCCCATAA